CCCCGCGACACTCCCCTGTAAGGCACCGGCCACCGCCGCTGTGGCGAGGGGAGCCCCCCCGAGAAACACGGCCCCCAAACCGCCGCCAGCAGCAGCAGGAGGAGCAGCCGGTGGTGGCGGGCGGCGCCCATGGCGACGGGGCGGCGAGCCGGGCCTCGGCGCTGCGGGGGAAGGAAGCGGCGGGGCCGAGGGAGGCCGGGCGGGAAGGAGGCCGCCCCCGCGCCCGCCCACAGGGCCCGGAGCGGCCGGAGAGGGCCCGGGCCGGAGGGGGTGAGGCGGGGAGGCGGCACCGGGCTACGTGCAGGGCCCTGACCAAACCCATGGGTTTTATTTTTTTTTCCTCCGGAAAACCGACCGTGTGCTGAGTCGGCCCTTCAAAACATCACAGAATCACAGAATGATGTGGGGTTGGAAGGGACCTCTGGAGATCATCTAGTCCAACCGCCCTGCCAAAGCAGGTCCACCCAGAGCAGGTTGCACAGGAACGTGTCCAGGCGGGTTTTGAACTTCCCCAGAGATGGAGACTCCACCACCTCCCTGGGCAGCCTGTTCCAGTGCTCTGCCACCCTCAAAGTGAAGAACTTCCTCCTCATGTGTGATAAATGATTTAGCCTTAAACAGAATTCCAATTGAAATATGTAATTTATTAAACAAGTAAAGACAAGCAAACAGCACTGAGTGCACCGGCAGTCTCTGCTCAACCAAGACCCACCACGTGCAGTTCCGGTGCTCGGTTTATATTTCTTCTGCTAATACATATTCCTAGAAAAGGTTGGCCTTTGCTAATGATTTCCAGGGATGGGCGTGTCTTTTTGGCGCATGCCCTCCTCACCTTCTGGAATCTTCTCGACTCCCACCCGGTGGTCCGTGGATGAAGTCAGCAGTTTTCCTCGGCTCGCCCCCAGGATGACTCCAGACTCCCCGCATGCACCCCACAGGGCCCTCCCGCTCAGCACCATGGGGCCAGCAACAAAAACTGGTTTCAGCTGGTGTTCTAGAATGTTCGTTAGGGGGTTTTTGCAAGAAATAGAAACTATGTACATACCGTCCTGCTTCTCCTAAGCCCACGGTTAAACAAGAACAAACAGAACGGTTAAAGGTTACATATACGAGAGGGTCACATTTCACCATGCGGCCCTAGCATTGTTCCATATTGACACGTATCAGGTGAACACATTTCACATCAACTTTAGACGGAACTTCTTAGGTACCACTTTGCACCCATTTCCTCTTGTCCTGTCACTGGGCACCACTGAAAAAAGACTGGCCCCATTCTCTTGATACCCACCCTTTGAGTATTTGTAAAAATTGATCGGATACCCCTGCAGTTTTCTCTTCTCTAGACTGAAAAGACCCAAGTCCCTCAGCCTCTCCTTGTAGGAGAGATGCTCCAGGCCCCTAATCATCTTCGTAGCCCTCTGCTGCACCCTCTCCAGCAGTTCCCTGTCCTCCTTGAACTGGGGAGCCCA